CTGGAAGATGGATGGAGAGAATCAGTCACATTTTGAACGCGACTAGATTAACACTTCCTGGAATGGGTTCCTTAATACAACTAAACGACAGCCCAGTAAAAACTGAGTTCCTGGTACATTTAGTTGGGATAAGCAATACATGCTGGTGTTTAAAAGCTGGACCTGTGATGAGAAAGGCATAACTCTGTATTTCTACTATTTACTGGCCGTGTGACTTATGGCAAGTGAATCGCTGTAAACCTAGAGATTTAGTAGCAGGAGAAATATGTCATCTAGCTTCAGCTGAAATGTGAATGCAGCTTAGGGGTAGGCTAGGAGCTCTTCTCTGCTCTAGATGACACATTTCTGTTGATACTTAGGAACTAGAATCTCCATTCACGTTTTTCAGGAAGTGAAATGAACCCCAGAGCATTCTTTGCAGAATTGATACTTAAATCCAAATGTCCTGGCTCCCCTTTCTGGGTGTATTATGTCTGAATCACCTGGATTCTCTTTCCTACCTCCCCTGAATTTTTAAAATAATGAATAAGCTGAAAAGAAAACTGTGATTCCCCCCCCAAAGTAAATTTTTGTCCTTTTTAAAGTACCATAGCCTTTCAGAGTGAAATGAAACTTTCTGCACTCATAAAACCCAGGATACCATGCAAGTCAGTGCTGTGGGAGGTGGTCCTGACTGCCTGGATCAGGGGCTTACAAGGGGAGGAGCATGAGGAGGCTCTTAGGTAGGTTCACCAGTCTAGAGTCACCTTCTTTTCTCCTGCTGTCTCTGAATCTTGAAGGTCCAGAAGCTCCCTTTTCTCTTTCTTTTTCCTGTGAGCCTACAGCCTGTCTTCAGATTTAGAGCTAGGAAGCTGTGGTGGTGAGGACAGTGGGCAGGGTTGGCCTGAGAGAAGACCAGGATTTCTTATCAGTCTGGTTGTGGTTGTCATTTATGTGTTAACTGGCTCTCAGGAGCTTTTGCCCCCAAGACAGAGTCTCTTCCTCTTCCTATGTGGGGCCACTCCCACAAAGTCCCAGGAAGAGCTTCAGG